TTTTTTTCTGAAAGTGTTAGAGAGACAGATCTCAAGAATTGCCAGAAATCGTTTAGAATCTCCTTGGGATCTTTTTCATTTTATTCCAGTGCACCTGTATTTTCTGTTTTCAATTTACAATGCTATCAATTTGTTAAAGTAAGCATGATTTTTTTTCTGCGTTTGTAAGAGATAGCTTTTTAGAATTGTTAAAGAGATTGTAAGGAGGTTTTTGAAATTGATTCCTGCAATTCGACTAAAACGAGGTTTTTATGACGTCACTAATCACGAAGTCTTTATGTGGTATACCATATTTTGTGATTAGTGACGTCATTAAACACTTAGTTTTAGTGGAATTACAGAAACCACAGACATCTGGCTGAAAATTTTAATGGTGCAAATTGATGCTATCAGTGTCCCCGATACACATACACATGGAAAAAGCGTCCAGTCGTTCGGATGGGACAATAAACCGAGGCCCCGTGTGCGATAGGCTGTGCACGTTTAAGATCCCTCGACAGTTGGAAATCGAAAAATGGCAGGCTAATGCCGCTGTCCTGGCAAAATTTCCCTCATTGCACCCTGCATGGCCTTGCCCATCTTCATTAGCCCACATTGTGCAGAAAAGTAGGACGTAAAACTCCATTTTCCAGTTTTCAAGTCTTCATGAGTCCAATCAGGCACGGAAAAGTAGGACCTAAAACTCTATTCGCTTTCATTTCAATCCCCAGTTTAAAGGTGTAACGGATATGTGTCAAAAAGCACCAAATCAAATCTATTTTTCCAAAATTTTCCAAGGGTGGAACTCTCCAGACGTTAGGCTTGCGCCTATGCGCTCCACAGATCTTGCGCATGCTGAATTTCAGCCTTGATAGTTGTCCCCCCATTACGTCAGTCTGCCCCCTTTTTGTACCCCCAGTCTAGGGAAATTGGCGCCGCCACTGATGTTCTGTCATTGTGACAGAGTGCTTGTTCGTGACCATATTTTAATCAATCAAACAAACACGCCCACTTGTAAAAACTGCTGACTTGCTTTCTCTGAGATATCTCAGTGAGGTCCACCTGCGGTTAAGAGACTAATACTCCAGTTTCTCTCTAGTGTATTGATTTCAACTTGAAAGGTTTTAAATGGTGTCGCCAACAGGTTGCTGGGCTAAAGACAGTAACTCCCACTTGGACTCACACTCACTAAGTGCATAGTAAATAAAATGAAGTCTTGCATCCATCATTATTGCGATTTTGGACACATTTAGACTGCGACGCCATGTAATGTTCAATTCATAGCCTGGCATTAGATTCTTGAACAAAATATGTCTTATGAATAAATGAATAAAGAAATCTCTCACCCACCCACTCCCTGTCATTGCAGAAACCTGTAGCATAACATCTTGTCGACTGTAATGTTATATTCAATATAATTGATCGGTTTGGGTAATATTACAGGAAAACGTGTGGTATTCCCTTTGTCTTTATTTGACTTATCAACCTGGTTTCCCCCTTGTTCGAGTCCCTGTCAGTGATGCAGGTCGGCAGTTGGTGACATGGAGAAAGTGTCACGTCGTTCGGGTGGGGAAATAAACGAGTCACTGTCAGTGATGCAGGTCGAAGGGACTGACTGACATGGAAAATGCGTCACGTCGTTCGTATGGGGCAAAAACCTAAGATTTGTGAATGATGCAGGTCGGCAGTGGTGACGTGGAAAAAGAGTTACGTCGTTCGGATGGGGCAAAAAACCGAGGATTGGTGAATAATGCAGGTCGGAAGGGGTTGACATGGAAAAGCCGTCTAGGTGTTTGGATGGGAAATAAACCGAAGCTCTGTCAGTGATGCAGGTCGAAGGTTCTGACGTGGGTAAGGCGTCATGTCGTTCGCTCTGTAAGTGATGCAAAAATGCGTCTTGTCGTTCAGACAATTTACTCCGACCTCTTGTGCTATGGGCTGAATAGGCTTGCGTCAGTATTTGAGCATTGCTCACTGCATGGTGTTGCTCATCGTCATCTTCATTATCCCAGAAGTGGGAGAAGATGATGCAAAACATTACGTCCTTGTCTTGTTGTTTTCTACTGAACGAGTCGTATCGGTAGGTTACCGAAGACAAGACAAACTATTTTTTAAAACAACTATAATATGTACGTTTCGTAACGTGTTTGTTTTTTGATGCATGTCATAATTTTTCGATCACATTGTATTCATTCGTTGCATTGTATCCAATTTTTGAAATTATTAAAAATCGGTCTAATTTTTATGTCAAAGAATGTAAAATTTTAATAGCATGACATTATTCCACTGGCGGATACGACAGGATGGAACTGTCATTGAAATAGAAAAAAAAAATAATTTAATTGGCAGAAATAACAAAACATTTATTTCAACAAAAACATGGAGAAAACAGCTAATAAGATTTATATAAATACTCATAAATAAAAAAAAAAGGTTTTATAAAATGATATGGATCATATTTTTGAATGAATAATTCACGGTACTATGAAGAATTACGATTGACATATGCTTATCACGATCTTTAAATCGTGTTTGACAATTGGTGTCAGGATTTTTAAAAAACTGCTGGTGATTGGCAAGACGATATCACGATCATAAATCGTGCTGGCTCGCCAATATCACCATCATATATTGTACAGACTCCCCAATATCACGATGTTATCGGAAAATGGTATTACAAAGTATATGACACTGTACGAATTTTGACATGTTCATATCACGATATAGGACCAACGTGTTTTACAAATGATTACAAGATTTTAAAACCGCCTAGGAATGACATGCGATATGACGATTTATTATCATCATGTTAAGAAAGCGAGTTGTCACGATTTTAATAGAAAAACAACTAGGTCTGACATATGATTAACAAATACTTATAGCGATTTAGGACCATTGTGATGGACATTTTGATTTTGAAACAACAAGGACTGACATTGCGATATCACGATTTTTTATCATCGTGTTTGATAAGAATCATCGTAAACACAAAATCACGAAAAAATACACACTGGTAAACACACACAAAAGGCTTCGGAATAACTTTATATATTTGTACACTTTCTGTCACAAAATCACACTTGTTCAATAGATAGAATTGTAAAAAAGGCAAAAACAATGAAAAATCTGTTGTTAGATCCAAATCCACTCGAAGCCATTCTGACCACAGAAACCTGCCACCGTACCGCGAACAGTTATTTGTTACTTTGAACATCCATGTATGTGGTGGAATGTCGATGACAAATTCTTTGGATAACCGCAGTAAAATTCCTCCAAATTTATTTGATCGAATCTGAATAAGTTTTGTGTGTTGGGTTTAAAGACAAAGCGCACTTCAAGTAAAAAGGGGAGCTTTAGATAGGAAAATAAAATTGTAAAACACCTTTTTCTAGATCCTTGTGTTAATCGTCCAGGTTCATTTCAAATTGTTAAACATCTTATTGATCCTTGCGTCAAGCGTTCACGTTCACTTCAAATTGTTCAACTACTTCTAGATCCTTACGTCAAGCGTTCACATACACAAAAAATGCTTCAGTTTTCTTTCTCGTATTTATTCCTTTGATTTGATTCGTTCAGAAACACAATAAAACGCTACGCAACGTTTCGCACACTGAGCGCAAGTGTATTTATACATCAAGGGGTGTTGTTCCATTTTATCTCAACAAACACACAATCCATAAAAAAAAATATTTCATTTGTCCAAAATTTACACAATTACAGATCTCCACAAGTATCAGTTAGTCCATAAACTTTCACGAGGCCTGGAATTTTCACGCAATTTTCTTGTCATATCTGGGCCACCGTAGTATGATTGTCATCACTTAAAGGAGTGTACCCACCATATTTTTTCTCGTACATTTCAATTTTTTGAGAGTCACGTCTCAGTGAGAGTCCGGAGTCACGCGAGTCATCCATCAATAAGCTCCCATTTTTGAATTCCCGTGACTCGTCGCGATGTTGACTCATATTACAACTCGTAGCTGTGGTGTGAATTTTCGGCAAGTTTAAACCTGGCCTTAGTAATCGCCATCTCATGCACGTTCTTTTCACGTGTGTTGAGACCTGGAGTATAGAAACAATCAATGGATATTGAACGATATTAGCTATGTGAACTCTTTGAAAGAGACCTGATGCATATTGCAAGGGCTGCCATGATGAAAAACCTTATAACTAATGAACATTATTAGCTATTTAGACTCTTCACGAAGGATGCCGAGCTGAAAAGTCTAAATACAACAGGAATATTATAAGCCACGTGAATTATTCGAAAGAGCTGCCGAATTAAGAGGCGTTTCGCTAAAGTAAGCATGCCCTGCCTTGATAGTGGAGCTTTGTTCCATAGAAGGGGCGGAAGTGACATGGACTGAATTAGATGACACGAGGCGATGACAAGGCTTGTGGGAGGAAAGTGTCATTTAGGGGGGTAAGGCATGAAGTCACGCAGCCCAAGCTTAACTGTCGAGGCTTTTGGAATCCAATTAATTTTAAAAGGGTGTGTGTGGGGCGGGTGGGGGTTAATTGTTATTGGTGAGATTAACACCAGCCGTAGCCCAATACCCACAAAAATAGCCTTCTGAGGGGCATGCACCACTAGTAAGGGTCACACACGTCACAAACAAAAAACACCAAAACTAAAAATTGACAAGAAAACTAAGAAAACACAATAAAACAGGAAATCACCAAAACACCTACTGTCTAACAGCCATGAACTCCACGTGCTTGTTTTCGTTTCTGAGCGTTCTCATGACCTAAAAACGATCGAAAAAACGTCGGTCAAAAATTGACGCAAAAAAAAAAAAAGAATCCGAATTCGACTTTGAGAAAAATTACAGTTACGAATGAACTAGGTAATTAATTTCAATGATCTATTTTAAAATAAAAAACAAGAAAAAAATCCTACTGAAAAAAGAAAAACTGTTATAGGGGAAATAAGGGTTTGTAACATGCATTTTAACCATTAACCTAATTCAGATCGATTTGATGAAAAAAATTGGATTGAAATGAATTAATTGGCTGTTGTTTTATTTATCATGGTCTCTAATACGAGATTTACCTGCTAAAGTGAAACACGTTAGAAATAATGAAATCTGAATTGGTTTGTTACAACAGAAATAAAAACTTAAAAAACGACATCGAAAAAGAAACGCTTCTTTAATCCTTACCTCGCCATTACAGAAACAAAATATCAGGGCCACGAAAAAACCCTGAAAAAAATTAACGAAGTTCGTAATAACTTGACCTTGTGAAGATGCCTGAAACCTAATCTTGAATCCACTGCATTCCGAAAGGTCAGACCCTGTCACCTGTTCAATATTATCTTATGGACCTATATACAAGTGCATCCGTTCTTGTTTTAAAATTTAAGTTATAATAATACCTGTGAATTGATGACGAATGTAGTGAATTTTTCATAAGCCCCCGCTGCTTCACTTCCGGCGGGAACTCGATATAAGGTCACGAACAGCTGGATTCCAAATAACGGTATTAGTACAAAGGTTGCTTTAAGTGCGCGTCTGAAAATACAAGGAACAATCCATTATAATTTAATATTTCTATTTAATCTATGGACCATCCTTGAGATCAGCTTTAAGCTTTTGAGTCCAAATCGAAAACGTTGCTTTCAGAGCTTGTCTGAGTTTCAAATTAGTTACAATTTGATTTTAGCTCCTTTACTGTAGTGCCCCGGATCCCAACCTGGGGTGTTTTCACCCCCTGGACGTGTGGGGCTAGGGTGCCAAGGGTGTGGTCAACTGGTGTAGGAGAAGAATTTATTTTGAATTGAGAGAGCACCTCACATGATCACATGCTGAAAATGTGGATGAAACATCTTTCAGAGAGTCCACATAGCTAATAACTTGTGGTTTACAGATTGCAGTACTATATACTGGCAGTTATTGGTAAAAACGATTGTTTGTCCTGAATGCGGTTGATATATTCCACGGTGGACTACTTTGATTGACAAATCATGTCAAGCCTGTAAAGCCAATGTCTGATCAATATTAGATATGAATATGAACTTATTAACTTCTGCTTGGTATTTATCCCATTATTAACCTGCTTTCCGCTTGTCAGGTCTACAAGTCGGTGTGGGTAGACATACTTAAAAGGATTTAGTCGTGCGGATGAAAATCTCATGCTCTATGCGTAGGTGTACGGGCGTAATTTTAATGTAATAGAACCCAAAACTTGTTACAATTTTACAATTTTTTTCGATCGAAATTCAAATTTCTGGGTTAACATTTTGAAAATCGAAAAAATGAATGAATGAATGATTATGGATGAATGAAGGAATGAAGGAATGCTCACCTGAAATGGCTAGGCTCATTAGGATGCGTCTGTAACTGCGTCACCAAAACTCTTAATATATTGCATAGAAAAAACAGGTTCACCTGAAAAACAGATAACATCATCCAATTATATTCAGTTTCGTTACTGGAGAGGGGTGAAGCTCAAACGGCAAGGGTGTTTAGCACCTGACGTCATTTAGATCGTTACATCCGGTAAATACTTGACGTAGATTATATCAATTGTCGTTGCTGGAAGAGGGGTGTAGCTCAATCGGTAGGAATGATTAACAACTTATGACGTCATAAACTTTACCATCTGATCTTTTGAGCCCTTGAGGGATTGATATTGTATGTCCTACAGACTGCTTATATGTTTCTGTTTGTGCCATTAAGCAATAGTGTTTATATGGGGAGGGAGGATCCATGCCACCCACCCCTCCAGAACTTTGGCTGGAACGGCGTTTGACCCTACACCAAAATTTTAAACCAGTGCCACTGCCATTCAGGTGCCCACGAGAAACAGCCAACAGCGAGAATACTAATATTTAAATTCCGTGATGTTTAAAAGTGTTAAAAAGTAATCCTTTTCGTCTAACCGGGAAGTAAAATTGATAAGGAGCCCAGTCGCGGAGGAGGTTCATAACCCACGACACGACAACAATAAAAGAAAAGTTTGAATAAAGCTATCGAGACTAATACATCTTTTGAAATATAGATACATCACAGCCTAGACTGTTGAAACATCCCTTGGTGAGAGAAAAACACGCTAAATAAATTGAAGATTTTTGTAAAGAATTTTAACAAGGTAGAAGTTAGTTTCACAATGTCAATCTATTACGACCTTCGTCTCATACCTTGACTGTATCAATGGCGTTCGCAGCCATTTTACGGTACGTAGGCGGATGCAGCCAATCAGAGTCCTCGACAGAGAGTCTGTAAGCAATAAGTCTGTTTAGGGCTCTGATTGGCTGTATTTGCTAGCGAACAATACAATCTAATCGCTGCATTCCATGATACAAGAAAGGTGACTAATGCAGTCAAGGTATAAGACGAAGTTCGTAATAGCCTGCCATAGTGAAGATGGGTAGACATTTCTTGTCTCTGCCAAAACGACGCAAAATCACCACCTTTATGCCCCGCTTGGCGCTTTAACTCGAAATTGGCCAATTTCCACGAAAGTAAGCCAAGATGAATAGTCACCGTCCTAATAAACCATTCAGTTCATCATGGCCGATTTCACACAAACAAAATTACTTCGACCTAATCACCACTTATTTACATTTTCTATCCATAAACCTCATTTCATTGGTCAATCTCGCTCAATATCTTCTATCTGATTGGACAATATTCCAGTAATATGTCACGGTTAATCAACCGGAAGTAAGTAGACGACCATATTGTTTTAGTAATGATGGGATATTTGTGTATAGACTCGCTCATTAAAAGGCAAGGGAGTAGAAAAAGCTATTAGTTTTAGTGGTGTCTATTCAGTGCCTCCCTTGGGCCTTTCCCGTCTTTTGTATTGACTGTGAATTAGATTGTATTAGCCACTGGTATTTTTTATGTATCAAGGGTTATGATAAGATAATGGAATTGAGATCTTCTCTTAAAGGGATGTAGTCAAGTAATAATCAGCTTTACCAGATCATGATCATTCCCAATGATAACTTAATGAAAAAAGGCCGAAACAATCTGAATTCAAAACAGATGCCATTAAAGGAGCACCTTCACTATCCGTTCGACCAATCATACCTTAGTTTCAGAAAAAGGAAGTTCTTAGTTCAGCTTACATAATCAGTAATAGTGTTAACAGCTCATCGTCGAAATTTGAGCCTTCAAATCTATATGTATCCAGAATTATTCACGTTTGAAAGTTAAAAATTCGACTCGATTTTAGTGAGACTATGCCATATATAGAAAACACATATATAGGAATAGACAGTGAAATTTCTAGTGTGGGGTATATTTGAAGGGATTATGCGATGTTCGTGCGTTCTAGTACTTCAAGACTATTTAAGCACAATGTAGATCCAAATCAATCCCCGAAAATGCCGACTGTTTCCCTTTAAATCTTCGGTCGCTTAAAGAGACACAGTCGTTTTGATATTTGCTTAACAATATTTCTGTTATGTATCACTTAAATGTTGACGTCCATTACCTCTTTAGATCCATCGGTAGTCAATGCTCAGCATAATGACGTCATAGGGCCAAGGTTCATCTGTTCGCGGTTTAAAGGGGAGTGTTGTCAGATCACAAAATAGTGTAAGAGGGATGTTTACAGATCTGAATTGAGTGAGATATACTTACGACAAGGCACAGCAGATTTGGAGCATAAATAATCCATTCGTACTGTCCAAAACTCTTCGCCCAACAGCTAAAAATAAAAAAATGGTTGGTCAAAGGGTAATTAATAAATTACTATTACTTTTCTTACAATATCAGAACATATTCAATTTGGTTTTGATTAGCATCGGACAAAACTGTATCGCTTTAATTTCGAATACTGCAATTTTGAGAGGGGTCAGTCAGAGCGTCGGGATCTTTTCAAGACGTCATTTGCTTGTTTACGTCGAACATATGGTTGTCATGGGGACCCGCACCACGACTAGCTTCAGTTATTATCCTTGTAAAAAAAATGTTATTTCTATCTTTGTTATAGAAATTACAAACTGGCATTACATTGATTATAACTGGAAAGGATTATCAAATACCAACCTTTCATTGGCTAATGAGGCTCTCAGGGCAGCGTATATAACAGAATATATCATAGGCAGACCTGAAACAAACACTTCTAATCAGTATTCATCCATTGGCATTTTATTGACACCTCTTCAGACATTAACAATTCAGTTATACTGACACAGGTCTGATTTATAGAGAGCCATTTCAGAGTGGTATAATTATGTAAATGACTGAATGATGATCCACTTGCCACCGATCCTCAACACATGGTATTTATGATGGTATTTATGACGGTATTTATGATGGTTTCTATGATGGTATTTGGTATTTATGATGGTATTTATGATGTTACTTATGATGGTATTTATGATGGTATTTATGATGGTATTTATGATGGTATTTATGATGGTATTTATGATGGTATTTATGATGTTACTTATGATGGTATTTATGATGGTTTCTATGATGGTATTTATGATGGTATTTATGATGGTATTTATGATGGTATTTATGATGGTATTTATGATGGTATTTATGATGGTATTTATGATGGTATTTATGATGTTTCTATGATGGTATTCATGATGGTATTTATGATGGTATTTATGATGGTATTTATGATGTTTCTATGATGGTATTTATGATGGTATTTATGGTGGTATTTATGATGGTATTTATGATGTTTCTATGATGGTATTTATGATGGTTTCTATGATGGTATTTGGTATTTATGATGGTATTTATGATGTTACTTATGATGGTATTTATGATGGTATTTATGATGGTATTTATGATGGTATTTATGATGGTATTTATGATGTTTCTATGATGGTATTTATGATGGTATTTATGATGGTATTTATTGTGTGAAAAGGAAAATTTTCTCACTTCACACCACAAGGAACAGTGATTTGGGCTCGTGGGTTCTCGAATGGATGTCCTACCATACAAGGTTATATTTCCTTACCCCTTCCTGAAAGTTATAACAATTATAATGATTTTCTCCTGCCCCTTCACCCCCACCCTACAATAGAAATTGCCTTACCCCAGCCTGTAAGGTACAGTGGATACAGTGATTTGGGTGGTTTGAAAGCATTACTAATCAGTCTGTGGAGATAGAACCCTTCACAAAACATCCAGACATAATTCGTCGATTTACAATAGATTCTAAAGAATGATAGAGCTTTACATCCAGCCTGAAAATAGAATGTTTTTAAAAGAATATAGTCGAGTAATCATTTGCCTTGTAAGAGCTCAATTTCAGCTATCTGTAATACCTTTCAGAATTGCAATCTAACACCCAGTTCTCTTACAATTTAACCAAAACGTATCGTATAGGCACTTCCAGAATGGCAACAAAAGTCTAAACTTCCACTGTACAATTTTGTTAAATTGCACACGGACGGGATGTTTGTGTTTATATTCTGAAAATGAAGTAATTAGCTTGACATAGCTTGAATTAAATAAACTGGAATTGCAGGACCGGAAGTGGGATTGTGCTACATTGGCCATCATATTGAAAACTCTTCCTACGTCGGCGTATTTATTTATGTACGCCTTTCACAACTGGTTTCTATTGGCCACAAACAAAAATTCTGATCTGTGATCTTCCATCCACTTGCTCGTCTTCATTAGCCAATTTAGTGGGATATAAAATTACATTTATTTTTTTTAATCTGTTGTCAGTTTTGTCCATTATTTATTTTTTCTATTTTTTACTATGACCACGAAGTTTAACTGATTGTTTTAGGAGAAAGGCTATTCCGATTCGCCCACGTTCATATAACTCATTCAGCATTTGAATGGTTTCATTTAAAACATAAAATAAGTGGATATTTCTCGATATAAACAAATTGTCTTCAGAAATTGATGACAGGTTTTCGTTTTTAAACTCATTTTGTTTTGCCTGACATCGAAAACGAAACGGTTGTCAATTTTTGCTGACAGTTGTCAGATGGAAATGGTGAATAATTTATTTATAGATAATTTGATCGTGTATTTACAGTCTATTTCATTTCAAATCAGGCTGACATATGAGAACAATGTTGACATTTAAAAGTCTGTTCAATGACTTCTCTTACCTTTGCTAATACTCCATAGTTTAAATACATGGTTTTACAATTTAGCACATCCCCTCCCACCCTCCTCTTTTCAATTCTCCTAGAGCGTGTTTTTGGAATATCTAAGAGGGCAAGCCGGAGACCACATAAACTCAATCGCATTGCGAAAAAAGGATACAGTTGTACAATGTTACCGATTATCCTCACTAAAGTTCTCGAAAACTTACCCCGTTTTGATAAAGAACGCTCTGTGACACATTTTCATTGGTTAATCTATCATACGTCACAACTACATCCCACAATATTGCCGTGACGTCACTCAGTATAAAGGACAGGAAGAAGGAAATATGTAGACGTATCCGGTGTTGTTTTCGTAACGGCCTGAAAAAGAAATTATTCTACAAACAAAAGAGAACGAGCGATTAAGAAACCACATTGCGACTCATTGTCAAAATTAATTTGAATACTCTATGGGGTAAATTTAGTTATAAGATGTATCTATATGCACACCTAACCGTCAGATCAGACGTGATTTTAATTTTACTATAGATATTACTTAGAATCCAATTCAGTCTCAATACGTTATGGGTAAAGTTTCGATATACTACGAATTGTTTGGGAATCATTGTGGGCTTCTTGGTACGTATTGAACCATTGTGAACCTTTTCTGATACGTTTTGAACTATTGTGGACCTTTTTTGATACATATTGGTACCATTGTGGACATTTCGGTTACGTTTTGGCACAATTCTGCAACTTCTGGGTTTTTGTCTCAATTGTGGACCATATGGGTACGTTTTGGCACTGTTTTTGAACTTTTGGGTACATTTTATCTCATTTATGGACAGTTTGGATACGTTTTAGCACAATTGTGGACCTAAACTTCTCTTAAGACGATTAAGGTATAAACATCAAACAACTTGAAAACTACTTGTCAAAAATATATTTTGAAGAAATTGAATACAACCGTATTATACGAATTCTAAACTTATTTTTAAAATATTTTGCGAATATTTTTTGCTGAATCAAATATAACTCTTTAAATTAAAAACTTCATAATCAAACTGTCAATCTTGTATTTAATGACACTCGAACAAAATGGTCAAATTTTACAACCAAATTTAAAGCAATAATGTTTGTAATTTACAGTTGTGTAGGAAAATTTAATTGAAATCGTAAGAAACAGATTTGAAAATGATACATTTTATTATTTTCATATTTTCCACGATATTTTGTGATCACTTTTACGAGGGAGTTTATGGACTTTGTAGGAAAGTTTATTATAAGAAATTTCCTTTTTTTATATTTAAAGATCGAAATGGAAATTTATGAACTTTTTTCATTGATGACAAGATGGGTATGTTAACCTCGGACATTATTCAAAATGGAGATTATTTTACAGCTAAATAAAAATGCGTAGATTAGAATCTGAAACGTGCAGTAATTACCGTAATAAATTCACTAATCACTCATCTGAGATGATTTATTACCAAAAATACGGTACTTCTAATCTTTATGTGTTAGCCATTCTAGCTACATCTTCACAATGTCAATATATTTGCGAACTGCGTCTCATACATTGACATCATCAGACACTTTTCTTGTCTGACTGAAGTTGGTTAATGCTGATATTTGATTGGATTGTACAAGCGAATACAGCCAATCACAGTCTATAGTTTTCTTTTGCCGACCTCAAGTTTGTAAATTATAAGTCACAATGTTTACATACTACTATCTCTCAAAGGCTCTGATTGGCAGTATTCTTTATTGTACTAGCCAATCAAAACGCTGCATTACGTGATACAAGAAAAATGTTTCATGATGTCAAGGTATTGGAGGCAGTTTGTAATAGAGCGTGACATTGTGGAGATGAAATAACAAACGTCAGTGATACATGATGGAAAAGTGCGTACTAATGTCAAGGTATTAGACGCATTTCGTAATACCTTAACATAGTGAAGATATATCAGCTAGTGCCATTTAGATTTATTCCATATCTGATAACGGATGAAGAAAAAGGACTTAAAAGGATCAACGGACCATAATGGTTAATGTCTGAAGATATTCTTTCTGTTTACACGAAGCTAAATTGGAATAGATTAATACGACAGGCTTTGTCAACCTTGCTTCCTTTTTGAAGACTATGTACTTAATAACTTGTTTATTTAAGTTTGTCTACCGGAAGCCATTTCAGAGAGTTCACATTGTGGTAATCTATACTTAGTATGTAGGTTTTTCAATCCGACATGGTTTTTAGAGACTTCACTTGGCTGATAATGTTTAGTTGATATTTGGTATATATCGGATTTTAATCCGACATCGTTTTCAGAGAATTCACGTGGACGATGACCTTTTTGGGTATTTGCGTTTTTCAAGCGGTTCACATAGATGATAATCTTGACTTGGTATATGGTATGTAGGTTTGTCAATCTGACATCGTTTTCAGAGAGTTCACATCGGTAATCTTTAATTTTTGTTTAAGTTGATAACTTGTTTATTTAAGTTTGTTTACCGGAAGCCATTTCAGAACGTTCACATAGTTAATAATTTATTTTTGGTATGCAGGTTTTTCAATCAGACATCATTTTCAGAGAGTTCACTTGGCTGATAATGTTTAGTTGGTGTTTGTTATATAGGGTTGTCTAAGAGAGTTCATAAAACAAATGTTTATTTGGGGTTTTTCAAATTGACAATACATTGGCAGCAGCTTATGAACTGTTCTTATGAGGAAGTATATCTATTATAAATGAGGACGTATGTCATAATGAAAAGTGGTATCGGGTGTCTAGAAGAATAAGTAACCCTGCCTAGCGCCACACCCGTCATAGCGGCTAATGAGGAAGTATATCAATCATAATGGGGCCCACCACGGATTTTTTACTTACTAGGTGGCGCGCGTGTACTAAGAGGGATTCCAACATGGCGGAGTAAGTATTTCATAAAAAGAAGTTGTATCATGTGTCTAGAAGAATAAGCATACCCTACTGGGCGCCACACCTGGCATTCCTGCTAATGAACTTTCCACGAGGAAGTATATCAATCATAAGTGACTAATGAAAAGTGGTATCAGGTGTCTAGAAGAGGAAGCATACCCTACCTGGCGCCACACCTGGCATTCCTGCACAATTTGTGTCTCACTTGCCTCCATAACGCTATGGTCATGGCACGCTGGTCAGTCGTTCTAGCCAAAAGGTCGGCTAAATGTCGATTTTAAGGTCGAATCCCATCGGTCTCATTTGCCATAATAGATTTTTTTTTTATCTATAATTAACTCTAGTTAACAGACTGGAAGAATCGGCCTAAATGGTGATTTATGTCACTTTTGTCTGGTACCTGTCCTGTCGTCAGATCAAGACGGAGCAGAGCCGAAAAATAGATTAAATTACGGAGGAGACAGTAACTCAAGCGAGTGCCTGGTTAGGTCGATCTTGATGAGATTTAGCTATGAAAACTACTTTTTTAAAATTTCCTTTTTAATATAATTTGATTTTTTTCCTTACATTGATCAAGAAGTTTATCTCTTTTCGATATTTATAAGGTTGTATAGTATGATGTCTTGATTCCTGGCGTTTTCTGATTCTCATTTACTTGATGTCTTTCTCAATTAACAGTTTTCGTTGTTAGATCTAGTATCCGTTTTCGGATCAGCATAATCTCTTGAGAGCCGCCTTTATTTTTAACTTCTTTACAACTGTATAACTCTTGATCTATCTATTATACCATCGTTTTGATTTATAAAGGTTATTGCCACTGGTACATTTATCAAAGCAAACATATATCCGAATATAAGCCTTCCATCTTTTTCAATTGTTCACGGTACACAGTAACGTGGGAAAACAGATTTCGTAATCGCAGGTGCTGCTTTGAACTTTGTTGATAAGCATCTGTTACTATTAACAGTAATATAACAACTATAGTTTAATTTCTTCTGCTTTCAGATCGACTTTTATTGCTTGACGTAAAAGGGGTGTTGCAGGGGTTCATTAATAGTCTTTCATCGTCGATATATATATTGAGATACTGTATAACAGGTACTATAAGCTTTTTTTAATGATAGTGATTGAAAGTCGACACAGTTCCGGCTTCCGAAAGAACAGGTTTTGGCCTTTAGTATAAAAGAAAACTACAGTTATCTAGATTTCACATCCAACATGTTCCGACCTTCAGCAAAAGTGCCAAGCTCATTATGATGACATTAAATTGACCTTTTTCCAAACCAAACCGGGTTTGAGAGTCGACACTATGTCGACATTCGAAAGCATTGGTCGGGATGTTTAGTATAAAGGAAACCTGCCTTTCTTCAGATTCAGATCGACTGCTATCTCTGTTAGAAGTACTGTCATTAGTCCGACTTTCAGCAGCACTGGCACATGGACTTTGATACACAGGAAACCTGCCTTTCTTCAGATTCAGATCGACTGCTATCTCTGTTAGAAGTACTGTTATCGACTGCTGTTTACAGGGCCGACTTTCAGCAGCACTAGTGGAGGCTTATATAAAGTAAAGTTGCCTTTCTCTAGATTCAGATCGACTGCTATCTCTGTTAGAAGTACTGTTATCGACTGCTGTTTATCGGGCCGACTTTCAGCAGCACTAGTGGAGGCTTATATAAAGGAAAGTTGCCTTTCTCTAGATTCAGATCGACTGCTATCTCTGTTAAAAGTACTGTTATCGACTGCTGTTTATCGGGCCGACTTTCAGCAGCACTAGTGGAGGTTTATATAAAGGAAAGTTGCCTTTCTCTAGATTCAGATCGACTGCTATCTCTGTTAGAAGTACTGTTATCGACTGCTGTTTACAGGGCCGACTTTCAGCAGCACTAGTGGAGGCTTATATAAAGGAAAGTTGCCTTTCTCTAGATTCAGATCGACTGCTATCAATTGTTTAACGACAGAGCAAAAGAGTTAAAGTGGAACAGATAAGATTTTTACGACCCAGGCTGATAACACATGGTTAAAATTAACTGGAATAATAATCACACATCACACTATAAAACTACCAACTAAAACAATGATTGACTGATTTCATAGTACTGATAACATTTAGGTCAGCTCGGGTTTATATAGGTCAAGAGGTCGAGTACTTAATTGCTGTACAGTTTACAAGCACGAGAATTGTTCTCAAAGGAAATAATATCGTGTCCAATGGAACAATTGTAGTTTTCTGTGTTCAGAATGAATGGATCACCAGTTTATTAATAATTATTTTGGTAAGAAATTTGGTCTACCCACGTACAAATATTTGTGGAGGTATCATGTAAGCGCCACCTCACTGGGCCACGCTTTGAACAGCCACTATTTCGTCGTGACCAATCAAAGTAACGACATCAGTTCTAATCTCCAAATAAGGTTAAAGAACATTAACTACATAGGTTTCGAATGATTTTAGACACTTTTTAATGTTTTTCAAAATATTTCCTTCAATTTTCTCGAGTGCGGGTAACGATTTTTAAAGAGCTTGGATAGTCTTGTGTAAAACATTTTGAGTTTTTGTATGTGAGATATTACCATCTGGTCGCACGAAACATTTCTGAAGAGTTTTAATGGGTTCTCATTCAGTTTAATGGACACTTTGTATGATTTTCATGAAGATAAGTTTGTATTTTTTTGTGAAATCGATCGTTCACCTGATATTTACGTGGTTTATATCATCAACATATTAGCTGTTTAGTTCATCCGGTTTAATTAAATAGATATGGTTTTTTCTGTGTCACTATTTTTAAGGGGGTTTTGGAGATGTTTTTAACTTTGTAAGTGTATTGGGGACATAGATAGCACCATTCCAATTTTAAGTCAGACGTCTGTGGTTCTTGTAATTCCATTAAAATTATGCGTTATTATGACTTCAATATTAAAGACCCTTCGATACTATTAGCAACCTTTCCGATCGCTACTTCAAAAATGGAATTTCAGGAACATCATACAATACTTATTAAAGTGGAACAGTCGGCAATTTCAGGGAATTGATTTGGGTCTTGAATGTGCTTTAATAGTCTTAAGAAGTACTAAAACGCACGAAAATAGCATAACCCCTTCAAATATACCTCAAACTAGAAATTTCACTGTCTATTTCTATATATGTGTTTTCTATATATGGCATACCGGTAGTCTCACTAAAATCGAGTCGAGTTTTTAACTTTCAAACGTGAATAATTATAGATACACATGGATTTGAAGTCTCAAATTTCGACGATGAGTTGTGAACACTATTACTGATTATATTAGCTAAAAAAATTCCTGTTTCTGAAACTAAGGTATGATTTGTCGAACGGATAGTGAAGGTGCTCCATTATAACCGCTTAACAATCCTGAACTGCAAACCATCGTTGGTTTTAAGGACTCATTCTCCAGAGGATAGGAAAGTGGGAAGATGCCATTTCAGTAATTAGAAATGGGTTTAATGTCGTTAATGTATTTTCCAAACACACTTTTTTTAACATCAAACCATCAACAGATTTTAGAGCATTCAGTCCAAAGGATTTGGATTAACAAGAGAAATTAAGTACGTTTCGTTCTTACGTGTTGTTAATGTACAGTTCAACAACTGTTCATGATAAACTAGAGGTTAAGAAATTGAGGAATCATTGAAAGTAACTTGTTTTTGTTATTCGGTCTATGTATCATTAATGCATTACAAGTAACGGATTTTCTAATCATAGTCAAGATGAATTCGATTTATAGAATGCATTGAAATCACTCCGCTTAACAGAGAACGGATATCATATGTTTTTGTTACTCGTCTGATCGACGTTAAGTATCATTAACTTCTAACACCAATTGGTTGAAAACATCGTGTTTCCAAGAATAGATATCTGATCGTGTTTTTTATAATTTTCAACTGTTTGTCCAGTTGATAGAGAACCTTAAAAGTCTCTTGAAAACATAAATGGAGCTTCAAATTTTATGTTTTTTATTTATTATGTCTTCCATGTTCGGCCTGTGTATCATTAATCCATTTTTGCATGAAGAACTATGAACAGATTTTATAGTCTTTAGTCCAGGGGATTTGGAAGTGGCCAAATGCTTTGTAAGCGTTTCGTTATGTAGATTGCTCATCTTCAGAATTTCCTGCTGTAATCCCGGCATTAACAAACTTCTATGATACAAGAAATGTGGCCATTGTAGTCAAGGTATTAGAAGCAGCCTCTGGTGGCTTGACATTGTGAATCTGACATAGGTTGTGATAACTTGACATTGTGAACAAGACGTTGTTAGTAATAACTTGGCATTGTGAAGAAGACACAGTTCGTAATAACTCGACATTGTGAATCTGATAGGTCGTGATAGCTTGACAATGAGAAAAAGACGCAGACCGTAATAGCTTGACAATGTGAAGATGACGCAGTTTGTGCGGGATAGCTTAACATTGTGAAAAAGACGTTGTTTGTAATAGCTTGACATTGTGAAAAAGACGTAGTTCGTAATATCTTGACATTGTGAAGATGACGCAGTCCGTAATAGCTTGACATTGTGTAAATGCAAAGTGCTGTGAAAGCATTGGTTATTATATTCCAGATGATTTATTAAATTGCAAAATGTCTGTTAAACATTAGTGGTTGCACTTAAAAATATAATTGTCTTTCATTCTATGGAATGTTTTATATTTGTCATGTACAGGTCAACAATGGTGTAGACAAATTACATTATCTAATCTGTCTAAATAATGAATCGTGTAGGAAATTGCTGAAGGGATACAGTCGTCTAAAATGTGATTAACAGATGATTGGAGCTAACTCTAAAATTATTGGTCAACTGTTATTTCGTGAAAGGTTATGCTTTAAAACTTAACTTGAAATGATGTTAGTGTTCCAGTCATCTGATTGGTCAATCACTTAAATCGATTTTGAATTTAGGTTTGTTATCCAATCAGATTACTGTATTTCTTAAAATCTATATTTGGGAGGAGAACGTGTGTAATCTAACTAATTTAACTTTAATAGTCGTCGGACAAACCGGTTTTGCTTTTTTGAATTTGAAATGAACCGAACGGTTTATAAATAAAATGGGCACCTAAAGATTTATCAGCTAGTAAAGCGAACAATTTGACGGCCTTATACCTTTACAATGTGGAATATTCTGAAAGATTCTTTGTTATAGAGTGTAACGAATAATACGTACGTTGGCAAACTAGAAGTGATAGAGCCGAAATTTAGACAACAGCCTACCTTTAAAATGATGGAAGATTCTGAGCGATATGAATATACATAATGTAGTGTAATAAATGACTCCTTAATATGTTCTTCAGCTCGTCAATCAATATGTTTAAAAATTCTAATGTCTTTTCTTACATCTGTCATTATTAGATTACAGTATGCCTTTAGAAATGATGTTTCTGGTAATATGCCATGTGTCGGGATTCTATGATGAATGAGCTCGTATTAAATAAGTGCAAGTCATAAATCCAATTTTCTCAATCTTTCTTTCATTTTAATACAATAAAAGCCTATAAATTGTTGAACACTGGCGAAGGGATTTATCCACTGATTTTAAGATAGCCTGCACTCCCTCTTGTAACAAAAACTTATGTTTTGTTGAACATTGGGAGAAAAGGTTAAGTCACAATTATTGCATTACTTGTTTCTGAAGATGGGTAACAACCTTTAACTACCCCCCTGAGCAGTGACCGATCAAGAAAGGTCAAAACGTCTTTTTTTTTTGTTTATCCAGACTGTACATACATGGACATTGATGATTGGTTAAAACTCTTAATCATATGCAATAAGAACATAATGATATGATTAAGAATACATGATAATTCATTAGGAACACCAATTAATCAAATAGTTTGCTTAATATGACACTAAACAGTAAGGAAAACCATCCTTAAGAGGTAGCGTATCTTTAATCAATTATGTTATATTGTCTAGAGAAAAAAAATTAATTTCCAGTCTACCTGATGATATTGATGATAATAGAATAAGAATAATGGTTAAAGTATTAATGTATCGGCAAACAGACGTGATAGAATAATAGCATATATATATTTTACGACTATTCAGTTAATAAGAGGTTTGGGAGTTCAATGGGGACTGGCTGTAGTTCAGTCTTTTAATGTCGTGGGAAATTGTGACGTAATTTGTCCATGTAAAAAAATAATAGATATTTGATAATTGATTTGGGAGTTTAATGGGGACTGGTTGTAGTTGTAGTCTATTAATGTGCTTGGAATTTATGACGTATTTTGCCTGTGTAAGAATAAAAGTATATATTTTTTTCTATCTATTCTTAGGGAGTTCAATAGGAAAGGGTTGTAGTTCATTTTATTAATGCGCTGGGAATTTATGACGTATTTTGCCTGTGTAAGAATAATAGAATATATATATTTTACTGTTATTCAATTGATAAGCGATTAGGGAGTTGAATGGAGACTGGTTGTAGTTCAGTCTTTTAATGCGCTTGGAATTTATGACGTATTTTGCCTGTGTAAGAATAATAGAATATATATATTTTACTGTTATTCAATTGATAAGCGATTAGGGAGTTGAATGGAGACTGGTTGTAGTTCAGTTTTTTAATGCGCTTGGAATTTATGACGTCATTTGTCCATGTAAGAATGATAGAATATATATATTTTACTGTTATTCAATTGATAAGCGATTTGGGAGTTAAATGGGGACGGTTTGTAGTTTACTCTGATAGAAATCTATGACGTCATCTACCAGATTATAATTAAAGGATATATTTACTGCAATTGAGTTAATAAGCTTAATATATTCCTCTTAGCAAGGCTGGTATTGTATTAATGTATACCAACAATAGCGTGACCTCTTTTCACAACTATCCATTAGGATGCCAAGTTGACAAATCTAAATACCAAATACACAATTACCTATGTGGACTCTCTGAAATGGATGTCCCGTTACCACACCCAATCAGTGGCATCAGGTGTTCCAGCTATTTAATTCAGTTAATTCTATATAATTGATATTTGCCTTACATAATGGAATAATAGAGAGCAAGGTAGCGTGAGAGTTAATTCGACATCATGGGTTCTATTTTCAGACGTTAGATAATTGGTTGGCGTAATAGTGATTAAATTAGTATTATTGAGAATCAGGGGGGATAATCCAGGCGTAATTTTTGTTTTAGTTATAATGAATCATAGGCGGGGCTGTGAAACGGTAGTATAATTAGTGCGAGTTGTGTAACACACAAGCTCGGCAGCAAAAGCACCAAAGAGCCTCTTGTTAGAAACAAGGGGATACTGTCGGATATATTTTCGAATAGCCATTTCACCTTTGATTTACACAATAGTATGTATGTGAATTGCTTAGTTCGCAAACCTTATCGCAGTGGCATCAATAGTACAAGCCCTGTGGGCCACAGCCTGCCAGAAATGTAAGGTAATCTTACCTGTAGACGAGAAAGATGGCTATAGCTGGTAGTAACAACAGAATACTGGCGATGTTACATCCTAAACTAAGGTAAATCGACTCTATAAGACTCTGAAATATATCAAAATATGGTATGGTAAATATACAGATACGGGTGGCCGTTGGTACAAGTTTGACTGTACCAAATACAACATTTGACAAATCTGAATATCGAATAAACATTATTAGAAATGTGGACTCTCATAAGGGATGCAGAAGCTAATTTTAGAAATGGAGTTAACTCTCTTATATAGGACTTAATGTTAGCTAATTAACTAGAGTTCATCTCATACTGCTGACATGTTTCAGATACACAATCCTCATCAGGACAGATAGTTTTAGAAATGGAAGTTAACTTTCTAATATAGGACTGAATGTTAGCTAATTGACTAGAGTTCATTTCATGCCACTGACAAGTTTCAGATACACAATCCTCATCAGGACAGCTAATTTTAGAGTTGGAGGTTAACTTTCAATATATAGATTAATGTTCACTTATGAAGTAGAGCTTAGAGTAGTAGAGGAAAAGGGAGGTGGGGGGGGGGGGGGGGGGGGTACCCTTTCCCCCTGGACTTTAAGGGAAAGGGAAAAAACTTCCCCAAAATTCC